ACCCAGCACAGACACCCACCCTATTGGCACTTGTCAACCTTTTCAGCTCAAATAAGCTAAAGGTGAGCGGTACTCAGCCCATTTTTCCTAGTATTGGTACTTTAGTGAAGCTCAGAACTTCGCATCTGGTAAGAAACATCCACTGCACGCCTTGGGTCTTGGGTTTGGGAAGCTGTGTGGATCTGTAACTTGATTCTGTAGACCTGTCCTATAGATTAGCAGATACCGACAGTTCATTGCACACATTTCACACAATTTCATCCTGAAAGTACCCATTTTTGTTCTTGAAACATGTCTGGTGGCCCAGTAACGAGGAGTTTCTCTCTGGTGCTGAGGATGTTCCTCCCAGCAGAGCTCCTGGACCAGCCCTCTCTAGTAGGTACTGATGGAACTCTAGGCTCATCTTTGTTCCACCAGAGGAGCAAATGCCAGTGATAGAGTCTTTTTATGTAAGTTGATGCTATTCAGTGTAATTTTGGATGACTTCCCTCTCCTTGCAGCTCCCTGGAATATCATAGGTGGGGATGAGCTTTGCTGCTGTGGCTATTAATAGGGAACAATACCAAAGCAGGGCTGTATGGGAATGGTGTGGGTGGAGGTATAGCTCATAGAAGCTCAGCAGAAGTTGTGCAGAGAACAGTATGACTTCTGCCAGGATGACCTTCCTTCTGCTCCTCTTACCAATTTCCTACCTATCACTGCCTTCATTTTTGCATTGTGAGCTTCTCCAGAGTCCATGGAAAATTTTTTCTTCAGCTTGAGTCTCCTCAAGGTGTCATTTTGTGCCTCTGGGTGAGGAGCAAGATGTCCCATTGTTTGCCTTCTCTAAGATGGTCTTCCAAGAGTTTGTCTAAGGACAATGGCTTTAAGACCTAGATTATTCATCAGGGAAGATGGATGTGGTTGTTTCGCCTAATACAAAAACTTGTTCTTGAGAGATGCAACCACAAGTGGATATTTCAGATTCCCCTCCTGAGGAGCTGCTCTAACCTAGATCCTGAAGGTCTGCCATCATAAACTCTGGTGGTGTCATGCAATTTAGAGAAAATGTTGCCTCAGAATGATCTTCTGAGGAATAAATTAGCCAGGTGTGTGCATTTTAACCACACAATATGTGTAAGACCCTGTCCCTATGCGTATAGCCGTGAACAGTTTGCAGAAAGAGATTCCTCCGATTCTGCGTAATTAATTTACAGTGGATGTCTCTTTTTCTTGTGTGCGTTTGAACTCTTTATTCTTTGTTCATTGTAAAGGGCTTAACGGTTCCTGTTCCTTGATTCTTTCATTGGTGAAATGTTTTGGAAGAGAGGTTAGAGTCCCTCTGTGACCTGCCCTGGGTGGCCCAAGCCTGTAGACCTTGCAAAGACATTACTTTTTTGGCCTGAACACAAGTCTCTCAAACCTTTAGCCTGGCTAAATGCTTTGTACAAACAGGCGCATACTGATCTGCTCTATTCTCTTGTAATTTTCTGCTCAAGGGGCTGTACTGTAGGTGGCTTGCAATGTTTGCCACTTGCCTCGGTAGTGGAGAAAGTACAATAAATGAATCCGACAGTACCGAGGCCAGCACTGTGCTTGGTTGTTCTGAGAAAATTATCCTGAAATCTGGTTGAAGAGATTAAAACCAAGAAGAACTGGCTGTGTCTTTCCTCTAAAGCTCTGTTCTCCTCTTTGTTTCTTTTTTTCTTTAAGACATTGTTCATTTCTCCTTCCAAAATAAGTTGGTGGCATTGGTATGTAAAATGTGACCTACGATTACAGAAGGTACGGCTATTTTTGTAACAACCATGGGGTGAAGCATTGCATTCATTCCTCTTCTGGCTCCTTACAGTCAATTGCTGTAGCAGCTTTCTTGTAGCATATAAGCCGTATTCTTGATCTAATTTCTCCTGTAACACAAGTAATACGATCCTCATATGTCATTTCACTTCTTGGGTATCAAGTGCGGTGTTAATACCGCAGAGACTCCAATCCTTTCTTTTTATGGGAATTACTGTTCGAGCAAATGTTGGTCCATAAAGAGCGTGTTCAATGTGCTACCATTGTCGTAATGGGCAGTGTTAAAGGGCAATATTACTCCATGACTCCCCTGGTGTTGCTCCCCAAAGGTTGCTGAGCAGGAGACAGCAGAGGCTGAGCTGCCGACTAGCAGCCACGGCTCGGGATCAAATCCGTCTTGGATTGCTCGTGAGCAGATGACAATAGTGACAAATTCACGAGTCTTGTGAAAACATTCAAGACCCTTTCACAGGCCTTTTCTCATGAGCATTTGAAATTCATGCTTTCGGGAAGATCTTAAATTTCACAACTCCATGTGTGCTTCTAAATAGATTCCTAGCAGCTGTGAAACCCTTCCATCGAAAATAGCAAGTTCTTTTCAATGCAGGCCTTTCGGGGTTGCTCTTTTCCAGTGTTGCTTAAAATATAATTAGTAACATGATGTGACCCCGTCTTCAGAGTGTAGGACCTAACATCAACATAGGGACATCAGTGGCTCGGAGCAGCCCGGGGCAGGTTCACCTCGCAAGGAGCAGCTCCAAGGCCATTTCACACATCTACAAGTTTTTAGCTTCTCAGGTACGTGCTTTTTCGACGTGGGGGTGTTTTAGGCTTGATGTGGCTGTGGGGATAATTTTTCCAGATGAGACAGTGGGGCGTGCAGCGAATGTGTAAAGATGATTTATCTCTTGCAGATCGGATTCAGAAAGCTTGTGTTAGCCCTGCCTTGCGTGTGTGTGTGCCTGGTTCAGGCAAGCTACACTCCAGTTCTGTAGCAAACGTACATGAAGACAACTATGCGGTTACAATTAATAAAAACAGCTTTTGAGGGTTAAATGTGAATTCGCTTCGGACTATTTGCAGCCTAAATATTGCAGTAGTGGTCAGTGAAACTGGCTGGGAGCTGAGCAGCTCCTGTCTCTGTCTGGTCCCATCCCCTGCAAAAGTGACAAGAAGTCCATAGACACAACAGTGGATGTGTTCTCCTGGCTTTGATTCCTGCTTTTGCTTTTCAAAATCTAAATGTTAACATATTTTTTCCTCCTTTTTTTGGTTATTATCTGTTTCTAATGGAAGCAGTGCATACAAATAATGACTAAAGCCATGTTTGTTAGCCAGCGTTTAGATTTTGCAACCAAACAACTTTGCTTTGACTTCGCAAAGAGAAGCAGTCTTCGGTTTTATTGTCCTGCAGCAGTTGTCACTTGAGTGATCACTGCGAAGATGAGTGATCGTTTCAGTCGTGGAGCTCTTCTGGCATCTGCACCCATTAAAAAGCAAAGCTGTGAATGTCTGAAAAGTGGCCGCTGTGCCCCTGCAGCTGTGCCCTCTGTCTGCATTGAAGGATGTTCTCCATCCCAAGATTTTAATGGAAGGTGGAGCCAGCAAGCCAACAAATAACCCCTCTCTGATTTCCAAAAATAAGGCAGTTAAGGAGCAGGTCTGAATCCCAACTTTCTAATTCATTGCTCTGTTCTTGTTAAAGCTATGGGGGTAGCTTATATGACTGGGCTGTTATAAGAAGTCTTTAAAAAGAGGTCTGTAGTGATTTTTTGCCTTCTTTTGCGTCGATTGCTTGAAAATTAGGTAACTTTTGAAAGAAGCATTCAAGAAATGGCTTGAAATGGCTTAGGGTATAAGGACAGGACAAACTATGTCCACTGGTACCTTTGTGCAGTCATGGAGACAGAAGGGAAAATCCTCCTTTCTTACTGCCGTGCCTTCTTTATTCCTTAGTTTTATGGAAATTCTGGAGGGTTTGGAGGATTCCTGTATGGCGAAAACCAGAACAGTTGAGCAATAGTAGACTTTGACGTTACGCAATGAAGAAATACGTAGGTTGTTATATATTTCCCTTCTCTTGTTCTTTTCTGCCATCACGCTCTGCTGCATCTCGTGAAAACTCTCCGTTCCAGCACGCAACATCTTCAGAGTCTGCAGGAGCAGCAAAACTCTGCCAAGGGTGGAAACTCCCTCTTGAGTCTTTCATGATGTTGAGTTGTGGCTTCACAAATTAGGTCCCCTTGGTGATGAAAAGTTGCATGGAGCGCACAGATAAAGCCATTATTTCTGTAGCTAAAGAGGGTGAAAACGAAGTGAAGTTGGGCAAAATCAACCTTGGACGCATCTTCAAAAGGCGCACTTGAATATGTGCAGTCATTGGCTTCATGAGCGCTACCAAGTAAAAGCTGTTAAATGGCATGGAAGAACTAAGGTCCTCTAACATGGATTTGTTAAAGTCCCCCTTGGTGGCTTTAGACTTGGTTTAAATAATGAATTAGAAGACAAATAAATGACTTAAGTATGAAATTTTGGCCAGATTACATTGGAAGGAGGTAAATGTGGCCTTGGAAATATTCTCTTTGCTTTAGAAGACAATGTTATTCAGTTGTCAGATGTCTTCATCCAAAATAAATAAATATGCCGCATAATGGCCGCGATTCTTCCCATTTCGGGTAACTGTATGCTGGCAATAGCACGCCATACCAGATAATGCAAATAATCTGCTGCCGAATAATTAATGATGCGGCTGGGCATATTTTTTTGATGAATGCTTATGGAGCCTGGTGACAGGCGTGAAATTAGAAAATTCCTTCAGCGCCCTAAAATATAAATAGCTTTCGGAACTGAAAAGAGTTTCACAGCTGAAGATTTTATTGTGTTGAGAGGAAAAACTTTTCCACCCCCATCCCCCCCTTTCTTCTCTGCGAGTTGTTTGTCCATTCACAAAACAAATACTCTGAAGCCCAGTACGGCTCATGGGAATAAATTTCAGGTCGAATTAGTACAGTTTCCTTGCTGTCAGGACGGTGGAATTAATGGTGTTTTGATGACACGAATTTTGAAGGGCGAACAAAGAAGCTGAAGGGAGGGAGACATGACTCCTTAGAAGTGCGGTCCTCCTCTCCCCCAGCCTCTCTTGTCTTCCCTGTCATCCGTCTGCCAATCTCCCTGTCCATGGTTAGTTAAAGGCGCTTTTTATCCTCTTTTCTTTCCCACAGAGTTTGCCAGATCCGGCCCAGTGCCTGGGTTCCAAGGGGACACGCTGCAGTTGGCCTTCATCGACTTGAGACAAGTAAGTCTTTGTGTTTTTGTTTTTTGTTTTTCTTTTAAGATGTGTGACTGAAGACCATCAGGTCTTAAGGAAAGGGAGAGGAGGGGAAACGGCGTTGGTGATTTACGCCAGAGACCTATATTTCCCCCCTCCCAGGCGCTCCCCCGCCTCCCCGCGCTCGAAGCCACCTCCTTGTTTAGCGCTCCGGGGTCCTGGAGATGGTGGAGGTGAAAAGGGCTGGTGGTATGGGGCCAGAAAGAAAGCCGTGCCTGACCCGGGCCGATGGGGCCATTGTGCTCCCCGTTGGCTTCTGCGGCCATGGCAAAAAGATAACTCGGCGACTCCGCCGGCCGAGGCGAAGCAGGTGTTGCAAACAGAGAGAGCACTGATGCAGAGACCGCCTGCCTCGAGCACTTTTGTTCACAGATAATGCCCGGAGGGGCGTTTTGCGAGGGCGAAGGAATTTGCATTCCCGTTTGTGTGGGGAGGGTGTGCGCCGGGGCGCGTTTCTGTCTGGCTTTGGCCCTGCTCCCCCGCCCCGGTCCCCTCTTCGCAGATGGTCCCCGGCCCCCAATGACAAAGTGGCTGTTGGAGAAGATGACCACGATCCACCCATCGGTGCCCACCTCTCCAGGGGCCCCGTTAGAGCCAACTTGACCATAGCAGGTACTGAGGCATTCGTAGGGCTTGGCAAGCCAGTTGAGGGAAAGGGGCCATGCTAGCGAGTCATTTGTTAGGGGTGGAAATGGGCATTATTGATACACTAGGCTGGGGGGAAAAAGTGAGGTGGTCCTGTCATCTCTTGGCACCGAAGATGGATGGGTTGGATAGAAAGTCTGAATGAAGTAAGACTCAATGACTGATGCTTCTCTCCTATTAAAACAATCTTTTTTTGTCTGTTAAACCCCCCTGGCTTTGTCCCTCCTGCCATCATGATGCAGTGCCTCTTGTTTTCAGGGTTGACGTAGTTTGCATTCTGAAAACTTTCGGGTGCCGAGGGTATTTCTTAAATCTGCATAATCCCTTGTATCGATGATCTCCTTACCACTGTGACTCCGATTCATGCTGGAGCCGCTTTTAACCCGTCAGGGTTTTGAGAACTTCTCTGCATCCAATTGATGTGCGGGGCAATCTGTCATGCAATGACACTTCTGCAGAGCAGCACTAAGTTTAATAACGCCGAGACGCCGAGCGGTCGCCTGGTGTACTCGGACCCGTGAGCAGCTGCCAAATCTCTTTGCAGAATGGTCCAAACAGCTCCATGGAAAAGGTGTGTGGTATCAGCGCTACGTGTTGACACTTTTATCTTCATTAGCTTCTTGGCACTTTATTGACTGCACTACGCAATGCACTTGCAACCTCCCGGGTATAAGGAAATGTGGAGGCTTTTTGGGTCTTTTCCAAGCACGGAGACATGAATGCAGGGATTTTGAAGAGGAAAGCTGTGGCTTTTTGAAGAATGAAATGCCTTAAAAATGCTCTGTGAGGTTCAGCTGCTCTGAGCCAGTGCATTAGCAGGAGACAGGGATATGGGAAATGTTTGTATGGTTCATAGCTGCAAAACGCAGCCAAATGAATTCAGCGTGAGTGAGGAGAAGGCTGAACAGTAGCCCTCGACAATTCGTCCTCCTCTGTCAAATGTTCTTTGTACAGAACATTTTCTTCTTTGTTTTGGAAGGCAGTCCCACCTTTTCCTTGCATTCGAAAATAATAGCTTTTCTCGATGTTGCACGGACAAAAGGGAAATGCTTCGGCCTGTTGAGTGTCAGGTGAGAACAGGCAGTCCTAGATGTTCCTCTGGATGGCAAATATTGTACAGAAAATGGACAACATCTTGTTGCACCGAGCAGAGCAGAGCAGTCCACTGATCACTAGTTTATTGAGGTTAGCAACCATGTTAAGAGATGAAAGAGATGATGCCCTGATCCCGTGACTCATGATGTGCCCTCAGACTTTGTGTGACGTTCCCTTGGCTGCTCTGGGGCTGTCACAAGCCAAACGTTTCCACCACCATAGCACTTTTTGTCGGATCAAGGCTCCAGCTGCCTGTCCTGGGAGCTGGAGAGAGCTGGAAGGGTGGATGGATGAAAGTAGAGCAAAGAAAGGTCTTCCTTTTTTTTTTTCTTTGATTTATTTTTAATTTGTTCTTTTAGGCGTGGCGTTCTTTCTCGTTCAAGCCACTGAATGTTAACGCCGTGTTGACATAAAGTGATGGACGGGGAAACGTTACCACCTGAAAGCGTTTGTGTTTCTGGCTCTTTTCCTTTGCCTGGGAAGGAACTCCTGCACGGCTGGTGAGAGGGTGTTCCCAACCTGAAATCCAGACAGACTTTTCAAAAGGTTAAAAGTAATTTTGGGTTTATGTTACAGGTAGCTTTATGCCTACCTTGGAGCTGTCCTGTCAATTAGTGTGGTTTTTGCATGAGCAGGCAGAAGCAGTCAGGCTTCACTCTGTAGGGAGGAAAAAATGACTGGGCAAAAAATGCACAAAGTAGGGAGATTAAAGAGATTTCCCCCTCCCTTCCCAGCCTATTTCAGTACTGGCAACCTTGAGCTGCTAAAAAGCAATTCTAGATAAGAGAAAAAATTCAAAGCCTTGTGGGATTAAGTTACTTTAAAACCAAAATTAATTCTTAGAACAATAAAATGTAAAATGGTAGAAGAATGCAGCGATTGGCTTTGCCTCTCAAATACGGATCTGTGTAATGGGAAGGAGACTTATTAAAATGTCATTGTCTGGGAGCACCAGATTTCTTCCTTGCTCGGTGCAGCAGATTCAAGTGTAAGATCCCTCTGCACAAAGAAAACCTTGATTCTCCCATTGTGCTCGAGGAAGTTGGGAGAAATCTCATCACGGCGTGGTAAAGAGGAGAAGAGTCGAGCCCAGAGAATCAAAATTACAATTCTGAGCAGACGGTAATTTAAAAAGTGACTCTTCTTCCCATCCTGGGACAATTCTCAACCCATAAATGCCTTTAATGAAGTGATAAAGCAAACCAAGTTGCATCTCAAATCCCTTTGTAAGAGCCCTTTTATAACAAGTGTCTGACAGTGCTACTCAAATATTTCGGGCTTTGCAAGGAAGCAATAGTTACTTTTTCCCTTCAAGTTTCAACTTTGCTCACATGTGCTCCTTGCTGTATGTTGGAAATCTGAAATAAATTTGCTTCCATAAATAAGCTTGCTAAAATATGAAAGGCGCCTCGATAATCTGCTCTGCCGCATCTTGCTTTCAAAAGTGACTCGAGCTCTGGGCTCCAAATCCCGCTGCAGGTCCCAGTGCCACTGAGGAGCTCCAGGGGACTTCGGATCAGCCCGAGCCTGCACATGCAATAAGTTCACTGTGCTCTCCGCAGCTTCTGGCCAGCTGGAAGTGTTTTAGCTTTTCATTTTCATGGCTTTATTGTAAGCAAGATGGTTGAAGAGGAAGGTTTTATATTTGTCTGTGAAGTCGCTGCAATCCTCAGCCATGCTGATCTCTCCTAGAAGCCAGATCGACGCTCGTGGCTGCCCGCCAAGGAAAATCTGTCTCCAGCACTCGAAGAATTTCACTCTGGGCTCTAGCGAGGGAATGTCTTAGCTGGATTAGAGCTCCTTACTGGAGGCCTCTCCGTCTGTCCAGCGGATTATAAATCCTCTGTGTCGAATTTCCACTGGAAGTGCAAACTTTCCGCAGCAAGGGCGATTTGGGGAAGGGCAGCCAGGAGCCCTTCTTTCTGGAGGCTCCCGGGTGTGCGAGGGATGAGGGCCGTGAGGTTCCCCTCTTCTACTCCATCGTTTCGCTCTTTTGCTTGCTGGTTGTTAACTGGACGGTGCTTACGAATTTGAGCATCAGCTTTTCAAGCGCCGTCGGTGAGGTAAGATAGGCAAACACTATCTTTGGGTGTGGACCAGCTGTTCTGCTTACCGGCTGTCAAACAGCAAACATTTTATGTGTTCTTTTTACTGCGTTTGAAAGCCAGTTGTGGTTACTGTGGGTTTGTGTTGGACGCCGGCCAGCTGCGTAATGAGAGGTCTCCGTCTGATGCATTAATTTTTCCTCTGATAGAGATGCTTAATAAAAGAGCGTTCCCCTCAAGAACAGAATTCCCTTCTGTCCCTGGTCTGTGCCCCATTTGTCTTCCCCTCATACAAATCTTTTCCGCATTGTTCTCATAGTTACTGGAGGGTTTTTTTCTCGTTGAGAAGACGTGAAATCAAAAGTTAGGCAGGAACGTTGAGCCTTACGAACTGTGCACTTGTTCTGTCTTAATTTCCCCCAGCGATTTCTGAATCTTCTGGCCCACTTTGGCCATGTTTGCTCGGTGGACTTCAAAGGTACAACTCCCCTGGCAATTTCTGTGAAAATATGAGCCAGGATATTGGAGAAAAGCTGCAGGGTGACCTCATCCCTTAGACATCAGAGAATTCACCGCATAGCTCAGGCTTGAGAGAGACCACGGCGAGATCTGGATTTCTTGGTTCTGCACTCGGTTTGAAGGAACTGCAAGAGTGAGCGTTGCATTGAGAGACAGGGTAATGCTGGTATTTGTGGATATCTAGCTTAGCCTCAACCATCAGATGATAAATGAGGTGTTTAAGACTCAGTTTAACTTGTTGTTGGCTGATTTAAAGGCGCTGGAAGCTCAGACTTGTTCAAGGTGAGCGGGTATTGAGGGAGGTGTAGTTTTGTCTCCTGCTCCTGCAGTGGTCCACGGCTTCAGCATCCAGTCCCAGGCATGGTGGCTGCAGGGAAGCCCTTGTAAATTTGGGCTGAAGGGCCAAGACTAGATGGGTATGTGCCTTGGGATGACACTACAAGGCTCTGGCCACCTCTCTTTTAATGGTAGGAGGATGGAGACAATCTCTCCAAGAGTTTCAAGGCAGCATCCAGGCCAGCTGGGTTGTTGGGTTGTTTTGTTGTTGTTTGTTTTTTTTTAAACTTATTTTTATATTTTGCAATTAGATGTGGTTTTCCTGCCCTGTGAACTCTAAGGAGATAGCTGAAGAGCAGTGTGAAAAAAAAATTGGGTGAACCTCAG